AAAGTATGGACCAAGCTTGAAAGATTACCAATTCCTGTTTTGTATCTTTTGTTGTTGTTTTTTAATGCTCACTTGGAGAACATATTTTTGAGCTGGGGGCAAGAAAGAAGGATTATGTAGCAAGATGCAAAGCATTGACTTTGAAATATTCAGAAAATTCTCTACTCTCTATTATTTAAATCACACATATTGGTATTCAGCAGGTTCTGACCAGTTCTGGAGAACCGGTAGCGGAAATTTTGAACAGTTCGGAGAACCAGCAAATATCACCTCTGACACATAAGCCAAAATTCAAATACAGGTAGTTCTCAACTTACAATTATTTATTTAGGGAGCATTCTAAGTTACAATGGTACTGAAAAAAGTGACTCACACCCAGTCTTGCATTTATGGCTCCATTCCCACATGCTCACATGATCAAACTTCAGGGGTTTAGCAGCCGGCATGTATTTATGATAGCATCCTGATGTCATGTGATCACCATTTACAACCTCCCCAGTGGTGGGATTTGATTTTTTTTACTACCGGTTCTGTGGGCGTGGCTTGGTGGGCATGGCAGGGGAAGGATACTGTAAAATTTTCAGTCAGAGGTGGTATTTGCCGGTTCTCCAAACTGCTCAAAATTTCTGCTATGGGTTCTCCAGAACTGGTCAGAGCCTGCTGAATACCACCTCTGTCCCCAACTGTTTTCCTACAAGCAATGTGGAAAGCTGGATTTGTTTAAAGGACCATTTAATTCACTTAGCTGCAGTGATTTGCTTTAAAACCATAGCAAAAAATTAGGCACAACTTATGTAACTGCTTGCTTAGCAATTGAGATTCTGATCTCAATTGTGGTTGTACATCATGGACTACCTGTAGCTCTTTTTACTCAATAATACCATTTAGTGCAGGTGAGCAGATTTGCTGCATTAGGAATGAACAAACCATCCTTCAACAACCCTTCATGTTTTAGGCACTTTCCACTGATATCATTGGAAGCTCTTTTAAAATTTGCTGCCAACAAAACTTTTCTTTTTATCTTTAATTATCTGCTAATTAGAGATTATACTTTTCTAGCCTAAGGGGTTAGGGCCCAGATGGATCCCTAAAAGCCATTTATGGTCCCTAAGCAGAAGGTAACTCAAATTTAGTGAAAACTGAACAAATCTGGCAGCTAAAAAGAAGAAACCGCTATGCTAGGAATGAGGTTATGACGAATGTACCGTACATCCACAAAATCCTGGGACAATCTCACCACAAAGCAGGCGAGAGTCTGATGGTAAATTTTTATCATCAGAATCACGGTGATCTTAGGCTAATTTTCAGTTGTATGAATGCTTAAGAAAGATGTAAAAGGGATAAAATTTGGGAATCATTCTGACAGGAACAAAAGATTGGTTCTTATAAAGAATACAAGCCTGTTTATTTGTCTTGAGGTGGTGATGCTTCAGAATTAAATTATTTTTCTCCAAATCTTCAGCATTCACGTGGTTATGCTATATCTTGATAACTTGGAAAGTATTTGCATTTTTCTGTATTTCCAAGTTCTTCAAAGGGTGACAAGGAACTCTCTTTCACTTATAGCAGAGAGTTGGTCAAGTAAGTGATAATGTTCACACTATTCCCAATAGCTTCTAGTTCCTAACAAATAATTTCCACACTATCCCCAGTAGCTTCTAGTTCCTAACAAACTCCAAGCCTTTCACCTTTCACTCTAGCAGTATTTTCTAGGACCCAAATATATATGTTAATCATAAAAAGTAAAATTGTAACATGTACCTATAAGAAGGCAGTCGATCTGAGCTTCTTAATCACCAGACAGATACATGAAGATATTTTTAAAATATTTTAATGAGTGTAACTCTTCTGAAAAATTTTCTCTGCAAAAAACAACAACCAGGAATGCTACGTTTGATGAACCTAGAACTATCTACTTGAAAGATAAAGCACAACTTCAGAACTCAGGAAGATCTTAAACCTCTGTTGCAATTTGGAGTATTCATATATCTATTTAAGATAAACTTCCCAAAGTATTTTTCTTTTTTTAGGCTATCCTTAGTACATGGTTAAGGAACATACACCATTCACAGTACTACACTGACTTTGATGCACATCTAAGTATTGGTGGATTAAGACTAAATGGGTCTGGATCAGGTCTCCCAGCAAATCAAAGCATCGTGCTCAGATGCATCTTAGACACATCTTCTTCTTAGTGCTGCCTTTATATTCTGCCCCTTAGGCTACTATAGGCCTCTATCAATGCTCTTTCTCCCAAATCCTCTTTGAACTTTGACTGGCTTCTTTCCAAGAGTATTTAAATCTGAGAACATATAGATGCAAGCATGTCATCTCTGTTAGAAATAACCACTGTAAATAAAGTATTAAAAGCATCATACGATTACATGTTTGGAATCAGACCCTTAGCATGTCTTCTTCTTGTCAAACGAAAATAACATATAAGAAATCTTTCGGTGTTACAAGCCATGGAATGATTGAATTATGGCTTCATCACATTTAAGATGAAGTCACTGTATAATTATGTTTCTCATATGCTAAATTGATGGGAGGAGGCTAAATTATCAAATAAAGAAAGTCAATGCATCCACCTGATTATTCATGAGCTAGAGAGTGGCTGAAATCATGGAAAGAAAACAAATACACCTCACATCTAAAGAGAAAAGAATGCAGATGCTCTCAAGGAATTCCTTGCCTCAGATGTATTCAACAAGGAGCTTTGCTACACAAAAAATAATCATTAGCAATAGTTGTCATTAATTGCAATGGAAGTACTAAGGAAAAATCTGCCATGTTTTTCAGCTATGATTTTTAAACCCACATTCTTCCCTGAAAAGTAACACTAGCACAAGTACCATCCATACTATCTACTCAGAATCATAAAGTTATAGAATTATTTCTTGCGGGGTCTTCACTATACAGAACTACAACTCAATAGAATACTACTTTTCAGTAAATAAGCTAATAGTAAATGATGCACACATAATCCTCAACTTACAACCATTCGTTTAGTGACTGTTTGAAGTCACAATGATATTCAAAAAAAGTTCATGTACTTATGAAGGCCGCAGCATTCCAGGGTCATGTGATCACATCTGCGACCTTCCCAGCCTGCTTCCAACAAGCAAAGTCAATAGGGAAAACTTGATGGGCTTAATGAGTGTGTAATTAAAATTATAGTGATTCGCTGAAGGTCATAAAATTGGGTGCACCTCACTTAACCACCACCTTGCTTAGCAACAAAAAATATCTGACTTATTGTGGTCATAAGTCAAGGACTACCTGTAGATGCATTTTGGTGGAATTTAAGACTCACTGGCCACAAGTCAATACAGAGAGCAGCACTTCTACAAAGACAGCTACACTAATGTTGAAATATATCCGTTGGTTTTCTAAAGTTAAATTTGCAGTTGTATACGGTACCTTTCAAATACCTTCCTATTTATGCATGGCCACTATATTTCATCCACTTAGGTGGAAACCATGGGAATTGCAGCCTAATAATCAAATATATTCAAAGAATGTCCATTTAAGAAAATTTGTCATGTGTCCCAAACTAATTCAAATTTGTATAGAAAAAGGTGCAGTTACTTTTTGAAAGAGCTTGACTATTTCATACAGAAGGCTATACAGTATAACTACTGGTATTTATTGATGACAAATTACATACAGGTCCTCAAACTTCAATTTTTACCTATACCTGGGGGCCTTCCTGTTTATTCAAATGCAACCTATTGTGAAACTTTCAGAATATCTTTGGCTGAATTGGATGTCAAATAAACATTAACATTTACAAACATAATCATTCCTCATTCAGCATGGAACATCCCTAGTTCTAATTAGTTCCGACTGATGGACCCAGGCTGCTGACATGGTTCCGGAATCAGCCTCACTGAATAAAAGTTCTTGGACACAAGTGGCAGATACCAACTTCAAAGACTTCCAAGTCAAAGAACGAGAATGAATAAACAACCTTTTAGAAAAGAGATATGCATAAGACAGATATATAGGACTGTTCGTAAATTATGTATCAACAATTAAACCACTATATAACAGGCAACTTAATTAAAAATCAATACCATCATCTACCATTTCATTAAAATCTGTTCTGGCTGTCACAAATTAATTAAAGAGTTTTTCTAAAAAATTATCTTGGCTGACCAAGGGTTTCAGATTAATTTCATATATGATATTTACACCATTTTCCCCTCCCCCTTCCTGCATTTTATGATCCTGGAATGCAAATTTGAAGGATGTTTATATGTCTCCCACCAAGACTGTGAAAAGTTCTGCTAAGTTTAATGTGCCAAGTTTACATGGCATTTTCATACAGAGAACTGCTGCATCTTTCAGTATTGTTAGAAACTGGTTGGTGATGTGATTGTAAAACAGGCACTGCTTGAATTTTGTCTCTGATACTTTAATGGCTTTCTATCAAGTGTATCATGGCTACAACATTGACACACACACACACACACACCCCAAAAAAGTGCAAACCTGAGCCAAAAGCATATTAATAGCATCATTACAATCCCAATCATATTTCTTTGGAGATACCAGGGATCAGGGAGATTTATTCCCTTGTCTTAAGAGTGGGGAACCTATAGTCAGTCCTCCAGATGTTGCTCTATTATCATTCTTGACATCCCCTGTCAGACTGGTTAAGTGATAGATATTATGACAGTATCAGCAGTAGTCTAGCAGCATCTGGAGGGCCACACATTGAGAGTTTCAGCTGTAGCCTTAAAGTTTGGACACAACTTATCTGGATTCCAATGAGGCATTGCTGTAGGATGGATTCTTAAAACTTTTTTAAAGTTGGGGGGAAAAAACTTTTTTTTTTTTTATAAAAAGGTAAGCTCGGGAGTGAAGTCACAATGGCAGCTTTTCTAAAAGCCACGACTCCTACTCTTACTTCCCTGAGCAGTTGGACCAGCTCCCTTATTTCCTAATGGGTTTCAGGCTCACCCCGTGCCACAGCTTATAAGGAGGAGGTAACATACCCACTTTCAGCTCTTTTCCAAAGACGGTCCTCTCTCCCAAGGCGGAGCAGTTCCACCGACCATTGCGAAACTGAAATTGACACTCGTTGATTCCCATTTGGGAGCCTTCCCCGATCACGATGATGGCATCGGGTCTGCTCTGACAGATAGCCCTCTGTCTTGGAGCCAAGCCCGGGATTTTGTTGCAGATGATACTGGCTCCCAAAGCCACGACCGAAGAAAGACCCCTAAGAAGAAAAGGAGAGGGAGAGAGAGAGAAAGGGAGAAGAGCGATAATGAATCATCTCATCCGAGTCGGGATCAGTCGATTCTCTAAAAGGCTCTTCTTTGAGGCGCCCCTCGGTACGAACTGGAAGTGGCAGGTTTCTCAACATCAAAAGCCTGCCCGGATGCCGCTTAAGCCCTCCGAGCGGCTCATCTGCCCATCAAGGCTCGACAGCCGCTTATTCCGCCGGTTGTCTGGAGAGCGAGCTTTCAGCAAGCCCAAGGGTGGGGAAAGGGCGGGGGGATTTCTAACCACCCCCACACTCCCACCCTCGCAGAAATAGGTAAGGGGCACTGAACCGGCCAGCCCGCCCTTCCCCCTTTGTTCCCCGGCGCCCTCAGTTAAACAAGCGCTCCTAAAACCGCCCGGCACATACTCGAGCAGGGCTAGAAGCATCATTTTTGCTCCACCAGCCCCGCGCTGCTCGTCCGCTGTCCCTCCGGACTCCGACGCTGGAAAAAAAAGGAGCTGGGTCAATTTAACAGGGAGGAGAGCCTCGCCTCCCTTCTCTCTCCCAATCTCCTCGTGCCGTGTGTGTGTGTGTGTGTGTGTGTGTGCGTGCGTGCGTGTGTGTGTGTGTGTGTGTGTGTGTAATGCTGGGGGTGGGGGTGCTCTCTTATCCCAGACTTCCCCAACCGGAGCCCTCCAGATGCAACGAATCGCGACTGGGAATTGGGTGGGGGTGGGGGGGAGAGAATGGGTAGTCCAGAGTAGTTGAAAGACGCTAGTGGGAAGACGGAGGCTTACAGGTTTGGGTCTGTGAGAAAGGGAGAGGAAGAGAGAGGGTGCCATGGCGCGACCATCCTCCTGGCCTCCCTTTCCATTTAAGACAACTAGCAACCTGTCCAAGCATAGAATGTGTGTGTGTGGAGGGTTGGTTGTTGTTGTTTGTTTTTTGCTAAAGATCTTTCTTCTAACCCCCTTCCAAACATAGGAATTCCCCAGCCTTCTCCCTGCCTCGAAAATACATAACGCCCCCCCCGCGCCGCCGCCCCGGGAGCACTAGGCCTCCCCCCACGCACCTGGCAGTCCCACCTCACGAAGTCGGCGCAAGCGGGCCGAGTGGGCGCCCCTTGGCGGGCTCGCTTTCCCAAGCGGACTTGTTCCGACGGTCCCAAAGGAGAGGGGAGGCTCTACCCTTAACCCTGGCCGTTGAACTCTTTCGGCGGGGCGAATTTCTTTTCAACGGCGGGTTCTTTGAACGGGAAGAAGAACGCAAGTAACCTGGGCGCGGCGAAGTTACAAACCGGGAGCCTCTGAAATGACAGGGAGCTGGTTACAGGTATAACCAGGTTACTTTTAGGCACGCGGTTGGAACCGCGCTGAGGTGGAACTGCTACCGCCGCCGGTGGCAAAAAAGAAATAGAAAAAAGAATCAAACTCGGGCCGAGATCCCACCCAAAAAAAAAAAAAAAAAACAGTCAGCTCCCCCGGAGAAGTGCGGAATGAGCCCAAGGAAATCTGCGCAGGTTTCTAGAGCTGAGCGCGATCTTCGCGCAGAAATCGTTCGGCTCTGGGATGCGGGTCAGTTCTGAAACTTAGTCGCGGCGCGTGAGACAACGCGGGGTCGGTGGCAGAGCCACAACCCGCTTCCTTTTTCGGGGTACCAAAAGCGGGACTCGGTCCAGCCCTCCTCAGCCTCCCCCTCTCCACCATTCGCCAGGCGATGACCCCGAGAAAGGCTAGAGGAGGACCAAGGACCTGCGGATCCTGCCCTTAAATCGCCTGTTTTCCCTGCCTGGCGCTCATTGCCATTCCGGTCATGGCTTTCGTCTGGCCAGGCGAGGACTTTCGCCTTTCCTCAGAGCTGACGCACATTTTGAATTTTGCCGGGGACGAGAGCAGCAAAAAGAGTCGCTTCGCCCTGGAGCGAGCGAGCGAGACGGGGAGAGAACCCTTTCAGACTTCCCCCGAGTTATAAATGCTAGCACAGGTCTGGACAGGTTGAGTCACCGCAGCGTGTTTGCCTTTTAAAAAAATGGGGAGTGGGGAGGGAGGGAGGGAGAGAGAGAGAGAGAGGGAGAGAGAGAGAGAGACTTACCCTATTTTGATATAGACAATCCCTAGACTCATAAAGATGTGGAATATCCAGCGCCTGGTTTTCCTGTTCATATTCCTCGGTCGTCGTTGGCTTTCAGATCCACATGCGAAAGTTATGTCTTTTTCCTTTCCTTTTTTTTTTTTCCTTTTTAAAGTGTATTTAAAATAACAATGATAATGATAATAACGCCTGCCCCCCTGCACGCCCTCTGCGCCCTGGTGGGTTTCTCGGTGCCTCAGACAGTGCAACGCCTGGTCAAAGTAGCTCAGACAAAACAGTCCAGCCCTCCTGCGCTCGGAGGAGCCACCCGGAGCGAGCGGTGTGTGTTTGTAAATCCCAAGAGGCGATCACCATCGCCCTCCACTGGGTCTCGCTTCGCTCCCTCTCGATTCCGGATTTGTATGCCTGTCACACGTAGCCCTGGAAAGCTCGCGCGCGCGCTGGGGGTGGGGGTGGGTGGGGGGGGGCGGGTAAGGATGTAAAGGACTCCCGGCTCCTCTCCCTTTGGCGGCGGCGGCGGCGGCGGCGGCAACTCGAGAGACTTTCCCCCGCAGGTTCAGCGTTAGTGTCTCGACCGCTTTTCTCTCTCCTTCAGCATTACTGGGGCGTGTTCTCCAAAGGAGGGAGTAGTCCAGCCCGGGTGGGGTGGCGGGTGGGAAGGGGAAGAAGTGAATGGTTTTGGGGTGGGGGGCGAGGGTGGAAAGCGAGCGAAAGAACCGCGCTCCCATCACCTGTTCGCCGCCGCCTCCTCCCGCCTGGCCCCCCAAAGCCATAATAACAACACCCGATCCTGGGAGTCGTGGCCAAACGGGGGCCTCTTTCTCTCATTCTCGGACTTTCTGCAGAAAAGAAGGGCTTTCCTGAGACAATTCTCCCTCAAGACGGGATCCCGTCCTGGTCGGTTCTGCCTTCCTCGCTCCGCAACTGGAGCCGGCCTTGACCTCCAGCTGCCTCCTCTAAGCGAGACCCACTTTTGCTTGGCTTCTGGTTCTGACGGGGAGCTTCCCTTTATCCAGTTCCACTCTCTTCTGCCGGTTCAGGTTGGCGTCTCTCCCTCCTCCCTCCATCGCTCTCTCTCTCTCTCTCTCTCTCTCTTTTCTCTTTTCTCTCCCTTTCTCTTTTCTCTCTCCCTTCTCTTTCTCTTTCTCTCTCTTTTCTCTCTCTCTCTTTTCTCTCTTTCTCTCTCTCTCTTCTCTCTTTTCTCTCTCTTTCTCTCTCTCTCTTCTCTTTTCTCTCCCTTTCTCTCTCTCTTCTTTCTCTTTCTCTCTCTTTTCTCCCTCTTTCTCTCTCTTCTCTCTCCCTTTTCTCTCTTTCTCTCTCTCTCTTTCCTCTCTTCCTCTCTCTTCTCTCTCTCTCTTCTCTCTCTCTCCTTTCTCTCTTTCTCTCTCTCTCTTTCCTCTCTCTTCCTCGCTCTTCTCTCTCTCTTTTTCTCTCTCTCTTTTCTCTCTCCTTTCTCTCTCTTTTCTCTCTTTCTCTCTCTCTTCTCTCTTTTCTTTCTCTCTCTCTTCTCTCTTTTCTCTCTCTTTCTCTTTCTCTCTCTTTTCTCTCTCTCTCTCTTTCTCTTTCTCTCTCTTTTCTCTCTCTCTTTCTCTCTCTTTTCTCTCTCTCTCTTTCCTCTCTCTTCTCTCTTTCTCTCTTTCTTTTCTCTCTCTTTCTCTTTCTCTCTCTTTTCTCTCTCTCTTTCTCTCTCTTTTCTCCCCCCCTCTCTCTTTCTCTCTATCCCGTTTCTGAACTGTCCCAAAAGCCGGCCTTGGGGAGGTGGAGGGGAGAGGAGCGCGCCTCCCCCTGGCGGTGGACGCGCGGCTTCTACCTGCCTAGGAGCGCGCGCGCCCTGCAATTTGGAGGGGGGTGGGCAGGGAAACCTTCTGCGCGCGAAGCACCCGGAAGCAAGTTTGCAGGGGTTCCCCTTGGATGGCTGAAGCCTGTGCCAGGCTTGGCAGCACCTATATCTTTGCTTTGCTTCGGGTTCACCCCATACACACACCCGCAATATACTGCACATAGCATCTCCTAAGTAAAGGGCGGGGAGCGGCAGGGGGTTGGGGGGGGAGGTGGCATCCGCGGCAGCGCCTCGAAATGCAACCTAGGAAGTTGAAGTCAGTTTTGTTCAGCGCTGTTGCTACCGAAAGCCTGACTCTCGGAACACTTTATCTGCGGCTGCTGCCAGACCCTCGCACAGCAGCTCCCAAAGAAAAAGACCTTCACTGCCTCCCTGTTTTTGCCTATGTAACTCTCGGCCAAGTGCCCTTTGACTGATGGATTTCGACCTCCGTCCCTCCATCCCCGCGCTCACAACTGCAGTCAGTCCGGTACCCCGCGCGGGGTTCTTTGTGGCCCAGCCCAAAAAGCTGCCGTGGGCCAGGTGCCACGCAGGTGCGGATCGTGGCGCTGCTGCCGGAGCCTGTCGATTTCCCCCCGGCGCCTCCCCCTTCCCAGCCGGGAGAAGCGCCGGAGAAGGGAGTAAGACCTAAGATGTCTCCGGACGCACCTTTAAGCTTGGTGTCGCCAAGGCTGCCAGCCCCAGAGTCCTATTAACTTTGGGGCCCTTCCTTCTTGGCTCGGCCGGGGTGGGCTGGGCTCCCTGCCTTCTGGTCTTAAGCGACGGAGCCGCCACCCCCTTTTCCTCTGCCTGCCCGCCCTGCGCTCCGGGGAGACCGCGCGGCTACCGGCGTCGTTGAGCCGGGCTGTTTTTGTATGACGCTAACCGCGGGATGTGGGCGCGCTGCTCCGGGGATGTTTCCATTCGGAGGCCGATCCCTTATCTCACACACAGAAGGCAGGATTTGACCACATGAGAACAACCGGGCGGGGTGCGGTGATTAAATGGTTTTGAAGGGTGTGGGAGAGAACAGAAATAGACTCGGTCCACGAGTGCTGCTCTTGCCTCAGGTGAACCAAACAGGTGATCCAGAATGAAACTTTCGGCGGGTTGGACAGAGTTAGGACAAGAGCAGCAAAACTGGCGAATGCTTCTAATTCCATTCTACTTTCGAAGACGAGCTGTTACAACTGCAGAAGTCCGCGTCCCAAAACAGGCGTGTAGAAGCGGCAGGTCCTCCGTTCCCATCTTCTCCGCCGGTGGGGCGGGGAAAGTGGGGCTCTTTTCTGGCTTAGAACCCCTTGCCTTACATAGAGAGCTCATCCTGGTGGCCGAAACTTTGCCGGTGACTGACTGACGCTTTAAGTCTCTGTAAATCGCTAGTGTTATAAAGTGCTCAAGAACTTATTCTCTCCTTGCCTGCTTGTAGCCACCTTTATTTATTTCAGCCTACCCTGTTAATAAAGCGAAGACATCCCATTTTGGTAGTATGCGGGAGACGGGGGACTCCTTTGCCTTCAAACCAGTTGTCAAACTTTTTGTTTAACATCACACTGAAAATAAAATAAGCCCCCCCCCCCAAAGACCCTTTCAAAGAGTTTAGACGGAGAAGTGATCTCTTTGTTTTGTTTTTGTAAATACGCCATCTAGTGGAATTAAAGTTGAATCAGTGAGATGACCTTTGATAAAGGTGCATTAAAAGCAAATTTGATGTGGCCCCTTTATTGAACAGTTGGAATGTGAACTCTGTGCAACGTTGTTCTTTTATCAGTTAATATTATTTAATTAATAAGAACCTGATTATTTCTTTGGTTCGTTTTGTATTCCCCCCAAATATGAAACTACACTAAGATTGTAGATTCACCCATGCCAAGGTATTCGGAATAAGAAGAGAAATATTCATAATGCAAGGGCAAAGCGTTTAAATATAAGACTGGGGAAAATTGGAATGAAGATGATGCTACAAACCTATTAAAATAATACTTTAAAATTGTCTGAAGTGTTGTGAAAGGAAATAGAAGACAATGAGAACTAACAGCAGAATAGATGGATTCAGTTATAGTAGGGATGAGAGCATCATTGGAAAACCTGAAGCTGAGGGGAAGATGAAGAAAATCTGTGTGATTGTTAAGAATTAACACCAACTTGATCATTCAATCAACCATTCAAATACGCTTATCTCATAAGTAAAAATGAGCATAGGGGCTCCTCTGATCCTTTATATGCTGAAAGCTGCCTTGAGAAACCAGCAGACTTGTTGCCTCTAAGCCTGCGTTGTCTGGAATAACTAAAAAAAAAGGCATGCAAAGTTTCAGGGGGGACTTTTTTCCAAGTATATACAATACAACCTCATTTCAAGGGGACTTTTACCAGATACATGGCCTGTTGATCATGCCCAAAGACTTAACATTAAAATATTGAATACCAAGTTGGGTGTGCCTAAAATCATACTCTAGAACTCATTATTGGAAATAATGGGGGGGAAACCAGTCTCCATCAGTAACCACCAGTAACCAAATTGGGTAAAGCCCATTGGATGTGACCAAAGCTAAGTAATATTAAGTCCCACTACTACTCATAGAAACTTGCTTTACTCACTCATTGGGATTTACTAGAAGTCCATTGTGTCTTTAGTGTACTTATTTACTGTAGTGTAACATTTGCAGGCAAAAGTATTTTAAAATCTAGTTAATAATGAGAAAATAGTTCTCCAAGAACTCTGAAAGAAATAAAGTGTACTATCAGCAGTATTAGCAGCTTATTTTGTAAGGGTTTTTTTTTTACAAAAAAGGAGATATGTTGCAAGGACAGGAATATTTCTTGCATATATGCATGGTCACCAGAGGCTTCTCCCAGACTGACTTTCCATCTCTTTATTTAGCAGCAATAATCTTCTCCTGAACAAAGATAGCCAGCCAAAGCTACACCCAAAAGTCATTTATCATTTGTTTCCACATTTGTATCCCTATTGTTAATTCTCTATCAGGGTTGCCTTTGAGGTGAGGCTATGTAACCATTTAATGTGCTACAAGGTCAGGATGATATGCTTAGATTGAGTTGGGAGACACTTCAGCCTTAATAAATTGCAACTCAAATCCCAAAAAAGTAGCTAACAAAAATAGTTTGTTCCCCTCTTTTAGCAAGGATTCTTCGCTGCTTTTAGTGTAAAGATGCAAATCCTTTGATCGTACCAAACAAGGAAATTTGCGCAATGACTTCCCAGAGAATGACTGGCGCTGGGCAGAGTTACTA